ACCACTGGGCACCAATCCTCCTTCCCCAGCTGATTGGTCAGCAGGAGCTCCGCCTCCCGGGTGCAGCAGTCCGCGGAGAAGTTGGCCGTGACAGCTTCTCCATCCGGCCAGTGGGGCACGGCCACATCTCCGGCCAGCACCACCCCGACGCCGGCCCTGTCCCAGATCCGCAGCCGGGCCGTCCAGCGACGCTTGTGGCAGGGCAGCCCCGGGAGGCCGCAGGCCCCGGCCACCCCACTGATGTTGCAGAAAGGGGGCGGGTGATCCGGCACCTGCGGGAACAAAGCGCCAGGGCGGGCTGACAACCCCGAGAGACGCCGCGCACCGTCACAACTCCACACGGAGAATCTCCCCTCCCCTCCACGCGCCACCAACTGTTCCGGCTGTTTCATCTCCCTCCCCTTCACCCATTTTCTCCGCCCGCTGCTTCCCTAGCTCTCCAGAACGTCTTGGCCAAGTGGCTTGGCTGTGAATTGCCCCGTTTCCTATTCACGCACGCAACCTTAATTCACTCCTTCGCTTCCGCGGCTTCGTGCGCACCACCGACAGCGCGGCCTGGAACGGACCTCGGTTCACACGGGCCACTCCGAGGCTTTGCAAACAGCGTTTCCCTACTTGCGTGCGCTTTGCGGGACAGGGCTGAAATTCAACCTGATCCGGACGCACCGGAGAAGTGGGCGCAAGTCAATCGGGTGCAGTTGAATTAGGACAAACGCAAAAAGGAAGGAACCAATCCGTCTTGCACACAGAACGGGGAGCGACTGTCTAGGAAGGAGTCCGGCAGAAAGGGATCTAGGGGTGAGAGTGGCCCACAAGCTACATAGGAGTCAGCAGTGTGACGGGTGTTGCAAAAAAAGCCGACGTGACTCTGTGCTGTGAGCAAGACACGAGGAGTCGTTCTTCCGCTCGACTCTGTGCTGGTTGGAGGATTGTGTCCAGTTCTGGGCCCCGCATTTCAGGAAAGAGGGGGAGAAATTGGAGAGGGTTCAAAGAGGAGCAAGAAAATGGATGAAAGGGCTAGAAAACGTGAGCTAGGAGGGAAGGCTGAAGGAATTGGGCTTGTTTAGTTTGGAGAGGAGAAGACCGAGAGGGGACAGGAGAGCGGTTTTCAAGCATCTAAAAGGGGGTCACAAGGAGGAGGGAGAAAAATTGTTCCCCTTGGCCTACGAAGACAGGACAAGCAGCAAGGGGCTTAAACGGCAGCCAGGAAGGTTTAGGTTGGACATTAGGAAAAACTTCCTGCCTGTCAGGGTGGTGAAACACTGGAATCAATTGCCCAGGGGGGTTGTGGAACCGCCATCCCTGGAGATATTGAAGAGCAGGTCGGACAGACGCCTGTTGGGGACGGTCTAGATCCGTGTTTCTCGACCAGTGGTACGAGGACCCTTCGGGGTACTTGAGAGAAGTCTGGGGGGTCCGTCAACACAACTGACATTTGGAGAAACCGGATTATTTTTGCACCCCAAAATTTCATCACCCGCCCGGCTACGATTCCCGTATTTTAGCGCATATAGCCCGTGGGTTGTGTGTGTTTTTACAAACCCTACACCCCAGCCCCATGTGGGATGTACTCAGCTGCGGCGCATACAATATTTTTTTTATCCACCCGGTGAGTTCCTGCGCAGCCTCCAGCCTCCGGGCGGGCAGTGCTCATCCCCTTGGTTCCCACGCAGACGCAAGAACCAGTGGGATGAGCGCTCCCCACGCCCGGAGGCTGCACAGGACCCAGGGCATTTAGGCTGGCTAATTCCCGCCCGCTTGCCTTCCCGGCACTGTAAATCAGCTAATATCCCCAGCACAGTTTGAAAGAAAAGTCTTGTAAACCCTGCGGGTTATACTCATGCGCGGGGTATACAAGAGCTTTTTTACTCCATTCGGAAAAACGGCGGAGTATATTCGGGTGCAGGGTATATTTGCTCAACTACAGTAAGTTGCTTAAACAAACGTGTTGCAGTGGTCGAAAGAAAATCGTGTGCGTCTGAAAACTAGGTACTGCGGGTATTTTTTTTTTAAGGGGTATTTATTTGGGGGTTTTGAAAAAGGGGAACTTTATTAAAAAAAGGTTGAGAAACACCAATCTAGACGGCGCTTGGTCCCGCCATGACGGCCGGGGGCGGGACTGGATGCCTCTCGAGGTCGATTCCAGTTTTACACCCACAACTCAAAGCTTTGGGAAAACGTCACGTCCCTGCTTTTCCGGGCACCACTCTTCGGCGTTCGGTTCCCTCTCACACTAGGGGAAACGCACGACGTCCCTTTGAACATTTAATTCCCCGAGTTCTGTGCCGGCCAATCGCCACATTTTAATTTCCCTCATTTTATACTG